ACATGTTCCCAAAATTGATTTTGGATTTTTGAGGTATTTCGACTTTTTGAGATTTATGCAAAATCTATTCTATATATAGAAGTAAAAAAAGTACCTAGTTATATGTATCTTTAATCAAAGAATAAATCTAGGTGGTCAAAAAATTTCGGGTTTTAAGTAAAATAATTTCGTCTTCTATGAAAAACTATTTCGACTTTTTTCCCTAAAATTGCAATTTCGAGGCCCCAAAATAATTTTGCGTGCAAGTATAGTCTTTATCATCATCGTTGTTATAATTGTGGTTCGTTATTGAGGTTTGTGATAGTGTATAGATTGGGTCATAACCTCCTTTATTAGATTCTTTATATTTTCGTGATAATTTGTTGGGGATATAATGATTTAATATATTAATTTTTTTATTTTTTGTATTTTTATTAAGTGAATGACTGTAGTCAGAATTTTGATTATAATTTGTTTTTTGTTTGTATATTGTATTATGCTTATAAAGCGAATTGGTTTTCAGAAAAAACCATAGTGTATTTGTTTGTGTTTTGTTGGATACGAAAAAACTCTTTTAGGAGTTGTGCAAAGTTATAGTATTGGTGAAGTGTTTTGACAGTTTTGTTAATTTTTGTTTTATCTGTTATTGGGAATATTATTGTTTGTCTTGTTTTGTTTGCTAAGTTAATAATTACTTTATCAATTGATGGGAGTTCATCTTGTGGAGTGTAATTGGTTAAAATCCAATCATTTGGAAGTCTGTCAAACTTGTAATGCAGTTTTAATTGTTTGACTGTTTGTAATATTTGAGTTCTGTTAATTGGTAAATTGGTATTGGCTACTCTATTAGCTATATTCATATCTGTAGGAAGAGGAATTCTGGTGTCTGCTTCTAAATTAATCCATTCTTTAGAAAGTTTATTAGTTGTAAATGTGTATTTTTTCTTCAAAGTTTCTGTTAAGAGTTGTATATCTTCTTTTCTGATAATTGGCAGAGTGATATTATTTGGAAGGTCTGATATATCTACGTGTTTAGGATGTTCTGGTAATTCAGTATAAATAAAGAAATATGAGTCTGGTAATTTTCCCTCGAACCTATATTCTTTTCTCAATGCATCTTGGATGTCATAGAACGAGGTATTGTCTATGACTGTTGCTCTGTTCCATGGGAGATATTTTCTAATATCTTCTTTCACGTCGTTATAGTCTTGTAGTAGTTCTGGCTTTTTCTTTATCTGTACGTAGTTATCTGGAAGTTTTGTAGGTAAGGTATAAAATTTCCGTAACTCTTGTTTATATTCGTATATTTCTCTCATTTGTTCTTTAGTTTGTATTGACAGTTTTGTTTTACATAAGATTTCATCTCTTAGGTTGATGAAATTTTGTGGTAATGGTTCTTTTGGACAATAGTATTCGATTGGCAATAAGCCAAAGTCATACCGTTTGTGCAATATTTGTAATACTTCTGTTAAGTATGTGTTGTCTCTGAGTGGAAAGTTTAGTTTTGGAAGTTCTGCTATTGTTTCATTATGCAAGTTAGTAGGGTCTTCAGGTAAAGGATGTTTGGCTAATTTGAATTTATGGAAGTGTTTCACACATTGTCTGGTGAATTGGGTATAATTAAATTCTATTTTGTTAGGTCTTTTATATGGTGGTAGGATGAAGTTGATTGCGTATATTATAAGTTGAGCCATGTCTCTTCCTCCCCAATTTTTTGAGAAGTCTATACTATGTAAATAGCACCACATAATTTTCATTCTCAAGTGATCTCGTAATTCACTATGAAGTTGAGAAGAGAGAGTTTCGTTGTTATTAATGTTATTTTTGTCTTTGAATTGTTTAATTTCTTTTTCTAATAGTATCAGCCATTCTTTTATGTGGTCTGGAGCATCTTCTAAGTTGTTTGGTGGTTTGCGAAATATAGCTTTGTCTTTGTTATGTTGCGAAAAAAAAATCCTTAGTGTTTCTTTTTCAAAGGAAATCACACTTCTTTCAGAGTTTGTTAAATAGTTTAATAGTATTAAAGCATTTCTGGGTTTAGTCAAATATTGTGTATAATTGTTTATTGTGATTGGTGGTAAATTGTGAATAGAACTTTCTAGGTCATTTTTTGGATTTAGATTTTGTGTATCATTAATTATCATATCTGGAAATCTATGATTTGTTATTGGTATGGTATTTGTGTTAGTTGCATGTTTGTTTTGTGTTTCTTGTATATTAAACCAGTTTTGTGTTTTATAGTCACGTCACGTAACTGGTGTTCTTTGTTTGTCAGCTGAATTATTTGCCTGTTGATCATTTTTAGGGGGTGAGAGAGTTACGCATTTTTTTGGAGGTGCTGAAGAGTTTTTGCGAGAAGAATTAGAAGAAGTATTTAGTGAAATACAGTTTGTATCTTCTAAAATGATCGTTTCTTCTATTGAATTAATGGCATTAATATATACTTCCCATTAGCAAGCAGACCAGCTAACTTAGTATTGCGCACAAGGCTGATGGAATGGATTAAGACAACAATGAAAAGGTTTAACTTGACTGACACTAACAGAATCATAATTCTGGAAGATTTCAACAGTGTAAACGATCCAACTATAGACAGATCTACAACATCTAAATACAGACCAAACAAAACGGAAGGTCCCCTACTCAAATACCTTACAAATAAAAACTATATAGATACATTTCATACAATACAAAATATTAAACTAGAAACAGATACAAAGGACATGACAAATTCATTACAATTCACATGAACTCGAAACGAATCCAAATCAAGAATAGACCAAATTTGGTTATCGCCCAAAACAGCTGACACATTAATTGATGCAGACATTATAGATACTGAAGAAGAAATTGCAACAGACCACCACTGCGCCAGAGCAATATTACTTGACACATTTCGCAAACTACTTCCTTCAAACATATATAAACAAAAAACTCAGTACAGATACTATCTTAATACAGCTCAAAAAGAAAACTGGGATAAATTCACTAAAGAACTATCTAATAAAACAATAGTAATAACAAATTTTACACACACTCAATGGCAACAAATCAAATCCAATATAATACAAAGCGCAAACAAAATAATTAAACGACTAAACGCAATAACAGTAGAACGGTGTTACTAGTCAACCTGTTGAGTGAAATAAGGTTCCAACAGGAGGTTTACAACTAGTAAACTTAAGCGATTCAAGTTAGATAACTAAATTATTAATCAAGAATAATTAAACTAATTTTAAGTACGAAGGATAAATTATAATTTCAAGGACTAAGTTAAATGTATTCGTTGAATTTATTATTCGAAGATTCAATATAACCAGATAAAGTGTGCTGAAAAGTTTAAGACGAATAAGGTTTATATACTTTAATAGTTTATATTCAAAGAATATAAACTAACAAGGATTTACGGTAAATGTAATACAAAAATAGTTTATTAAAAAAATGAAATATAATATCCTATTAATTCAGGATATTTACAAGTATAAGAGATTTTAACTAATTTACACTATTAGTTATTTTGATCTTCTCAAATTTTAAATCTTCAATTTTCATTTTTGGGTGAAAGGAAAACTCACCCTTTATATAACTAATAGTTTTGTCAGTGTTCCTGCCAGTGTTCTTGATAGTGTTTCTGCCAATGTTCTTGACAGTAACCTTGACACTGATCTTGACATTAATTTTGACAATATCTTTGACAGTGT